TGGGCGCTGCCATATGTTCGGGTCATGCGACAGCAGCGCTGCAATACAGACAGGTCTCGAACTAAACCAAGCGCAGCTGCCGAAAGAGGTCTTTGGTATTCCTTTTGTCTATGCTACTGGTAATAATAATAATACAAGTTCCTATACCAAAGGAATAATTTCAAATAGAAAAATTGATGAATTTTGTACATATTTAAACCAAAATATTAATTTTACATTTGATCCAGTCCTGAACCCAAATGAAAACTTTAGTAACTTTTTAAGTGATTTTCTTTTGACTTTTAATTCTATATTTCCTCCAAAGTTTCTTAAAAATAATAGTAATAATTCTAAAACCAAGTCTTTCTCTGTAAACTGGATTACTCAAGGTATAAAAATTTCAAGTAAAACAAAACGACAATTGCACATGCAAGCCAAGCTCAGTAATGACCAACAGTTTATTACATATGTTAAGCATTATAAAAACATATTTAACAAAGTTGTAAAAAAAGCAAAATTACTAGCAAATAGCAATTTTATAAAAACGTCAGAAAACAAAACTAAGGCAGCTTGGCAAATTGTAAATCAAGAGATTGGCAATACAAACCAAAAACCAAAAGAAAGAATAGTTTTGAAAGATACAAATGGTTATGAGCTTGGTAATCCTGGTAGTATTGCTAAAGTTTTTAACAATTTTTTTTCGAATACAGTAAGTAACTTAAATGTTCAAAAGGCTACTGTTAATGGAGTCCATGCTTCATTGAAACATATATGTAATGATAATGGGATATCATTGTGCAGCCTCAGGCTAACTAATGTGGAGGAAATCAAAAAGATTGTTTTGTCACTAAAAAACAAATCATCCGTTGGCTGGGATGAGATCCCAATTAAATTGATAAAAGCCACTGTTAATATCATTGCTGAACCTTTATCTCAAATTATTAACCAGTGTTTAATACATGGAATTTTTCCGGATAAACTAAAACTTTCCCAAATCTCACCAATATTTAAAAAGGGCCTAAAATCGGATATTAACAATTACCGTCCAATTTCTGTATTGAGTAATTTTTCTAAAATATTTGAGAAGGTCATAAATTTGAGATTGGTTAGTTATTTTGAAAGCAATCATCTATTTTATAACAAACAATTTGGATTCAGGAAAAATTTAAGCACAGGTTCTGCACTAACACAGTTTATAAATGAGGTTACCCAGGCTTTGGACGGGTCTCAGGCTACAGCTGGTGTTTTCTGTGACCTGTCCAAAGCTTTTGACTGTGTTGATCACTCAGTCCTTCAGCTCAAGCTGAGTGATTATGGTATTGGGGGAAGTTGTCACTCTCTATTGAGTTCTTACCTTTCTAATAGAAAACAAAGAACTGTAATAACACTGGATAAGATCAAGTACTATTCGCCATGGGAAAACCTATCGGCAGGTGTGCCCCAAGGTTCAATCTTAGGTCCTCTATTCTTTCTAATTTACATTAATGACCTCCCTAAAGCTATTGATCAGGAACTAATTCTTTTTGCAGATGATACAACAGCCTTGATAAAAAATAATAGTACTTCTGAAATGCTATCTTCTCTTGAAAATGTGGTTCATGACATGGAAGGTTGGTTCTTGAACAATGGATTAAAACTTAATCTTGAAAAAACGCAAACAATAAAATTTTCTGTCAGAAACAATGGTAATAAAATTGAATCCCTTAAATTGGCAACGTCTCATAAATTTCTAAGTGTTTACATAGATGAATCACTTAAATGGGATGTACATCTGAATCAATTAAAAAGTAAACTTAGATCCATGTCAATTGTATTTCTGCACTTAAGGGACTGTGTTCCTAAAGAAACTCTGAAAATGGTTTATCATGCTTATGTAGAATCAGTATTGAGGTATGGTATAATCTTATGGGGTCAGGCTACCGGAGTCAAATCAATATTCAGGCTACAAAAACGCATTATCCGTATTATGACCAGCTCTCATCCACGTAGTTCATGCAAAAACCTTTTTCGAAATTTAAAAATCCACACCCTAACAGGACTGTACATCTTGGAATCACTAAACTACATTCATTCAGCTAAAAACGACCTCCCAGAATCAATTCAAATCAACCATAGATATAATACTCGAAATGAAAACATTTTTAGATTTCCAAGGCACCATTTGACCCTTTATGAAAAAAGTCCACTATATGCTGGGCTGAGGCTGTACAATGTGCTGCCTGCAAACTATAAATTGCTAAATGAAAATAATTTTAAAGATAAAATAGGTGAACTCTTAATTGATAGAGCCTTTTATTTAATTGCAGATTTTCACAATGCCCCTTTAGTTTAGAATAGTTTTATCATTCAATTTTGTTAATTTATATTATCATCTTGATTACTATTTTATTTTTTATATTCTGATAATTCAAACTCTGACGATGCACCTATTCTGTATGTAACACATGTAAAGAATGTTATGTGCAAATAAAATATGTCTATGTCTATGTCTATGTCTACTTTTTAGCGACGAGGAAATAAAGCGCCTGATGGTTACCAACCCCACTGCACCAGTGTTGTGAGGATTGCCTAAAGTGCACAAGGAAGGCGTCCCAATAAGACCGTTGGTGGACCACACCTCTGCACCAACTTACTCACTCGCTAAAAAGCTCGAACAAATTTTAAGAAACCAGATCCAATTCCAGAATAATTTTAGTCTAAAAAACATCTATGATTTTATTGAAAAAACTAAAGATTTAAACATAAGGATGCATGATTTATTGGTTTCATTTGACATCGTTAATTTGTACACAATGTACCGGTGGAGAAAACTTTGGAATTAGTCCAAGGTCACCTGACTTCCAGTTCAAATATGTTGCCAGAAGCAGTCGATGAATTTTTAGTCCTTCTGAAAGAATTACTTCAACAGAATTATTTTAAGTTTGAAGGAAAATTCTACTCAAAATCTGAGGGCCTAGCAATGGGCTCCCCTCTATCTTGCATACTCGCCGACATTTATTTGAATTATATCGAAAATGAATTTATACTATCAGATCGTAACAAACAGAAACAAAAAATACTGCAGTACCACCGATATGTAGATGACACCATTCTTTTGTTTAACGGTAACGTCCGACAACTGGAATTATTACACAAATATCTAAACAATATTGCCCCAAATTTGAAATTCACGATGGAAATCGAGGAGTCAAACAAAATGAATTTTCTAGACCTGACAATAGAAAAATTGGACAATAGATTGGATTTCAGCATTTATCGTAAGCCAACCACGTCAAACCAAACCATCCATAACACGTCATACCATCCACCATCACAGAAATATGCCGCTTATAATAGTATGTTATATAGATTGTTAAATGTTCCAATGTCAGACAACAATTTTAATAAAGAACTCAATTTGATCAAACACATAGCGCTATCTAATGGGTACAACAGCAATATGATTGACAGGTTATTAAGTAAGATGAAAAACAAAAAGTCTGGAGACGTCCAACCACAAAAGAAGAAGTATGTGTGTGTAGAGTACTCACATTCAATTCAGTACTCACTTACGAAAGAATTGAAAAAACATGGTATCGAATTGGCGTTCAAGACCAACAACAAGACAATTAATAAATTAAACGTTTCTGATCGTGTAATCGACAAAAGTGAGAAGTCAGGTGTATACAAAATTAAATGTGCCAGTTGCCCGAGCTTTTACATAGGAAAAACTGGACGGACATTCGGAACCAGGTACAAAGAACATCACCCATGTCCAAGAGCCGACAAACAAAAATCATCCTTTGCGCAACACCTGGTTGATAAAAACCATGACATGTATGATCTGAACACTGGCCTCGATATACTCCACACAAGCAAGAAAGGAAATAAATTGGACACATTAGAAGAATACGAAATTTACAGAGCCTATACAGAAAATAATTTTGATGACACAATATTAAATGACAAACTACAATATAAATCACACATCATTTTCAATAGTATTTTAGACCAGGACAAGAGACAAAAGGCAGGAGTAGGCCTACAAAGGTCAGCTGATAACACCACTACGCAAAGAACGATGCAGGATTAACCTCCAGTCGGCATCCAGTTCAGATCGTGGCAATGTCAACCGGTACCGTGTGTGCGACAGGCCTGTTCGTTGTGTTTTCGTTATTAATTGTAAAAGTAAAATGTTATTCGTGTTCGTGTTTTGTGTTTCAACTATGACGACGCTACTTCAGCTGAATGTTCAACGTCTGACGATGGCATTATAATGCCGAAACGGCCGTAACTCAAGTTACAACAGATTGAGCTGTAGACGAAGGTAAATACCTATTTTTAAAGAAAACATCTTGTGTGCGTGTGGTACTGTTCAGGATACTGGCCATATGCTGATCTGTCCACACCTAGACCAGTCTTGCACATTATATGATATTTTACAAGCGAATGACAAAGCCATATCGGTAGCTAATTTTTGGAAAAGCGAAGTCTGATTTCCGGACACGGAAAGTAAGTAAGATATAATTTCATGTAGGAGAATAAATTTACTTTTATCTTATGTAGTTGGTATTTGGGTTTTATGTGTTTGAAAAATAATATAGGCCTACACGTTTGAATAACAAAACATTTGTATAAAAAATAATTAAGATTTTTTTAAATTTAACATAAAAGTCATAAAGATTTATGGTAATGATCATTTCCCATGAACAACTCTAACTTTATTTATCTCCAATGTTATTGATTTTACAAAAATGTATACTTTAACTTCATTTCTTGAGAACAAATTTATTTGGTTTTTGTTCAAAAATTGTAGCGCAAAATCGTGAAATTTGCCTTTTTTTTTGTTTTTTTATGTCATTTGGTTTAGTTTATATGAATTTTCAAAAATGTGACTGCAAAATCACAAAAAATGCTTTGCCACTACAGAGTTTGCTCATTGCCAGTTGGAGGGTTAAGGATCTACTAATCCTTTGTATGCCTTGGTGGGAAAACTATAGCCTAGAGATTATTTTAAATAAATAGTATAGTATCGTACGAACCCACTGCTAAATTTCCCACAAAAATACTTTTTTCGGGATCTGAGGTGGTTTCACCTTTAGCACCAGTTATTCTTAGATGATGTCCATTATATAATTTTCCTGTCATATTTAGTGCTGTATTGTAACTATCCAGAGAGTTAAATTTGACTGTTGCGTGTTTACTTTGATCATTTACACGGTCAATCTTTGTGCTACTGGTGCAAAGTTTCTGATTTTGTCTTTCTTCTGTTCTAATTTTGATTTTGCTTATTGTATTGCTAAATTTCTTAAAAATCTTCTTGACTTGGTTTACAGTAATTTCTGGAGGCAGATTCCCAACAAATACTGTATAAGTTGAACTTTCTGTAAGAGTAGTATTTACATTATTTCTTTTGGATGTATCAAACAATGGATTGATTTTTATCCTTGGTTTATCCTTCTTGATTTCATCTTGATCACTGAAAATAATGATGAATGCAAAATCAACACGACATATAATGACCAAATTAAATAAATACCACTATATAAAAATGTTGCATCGAAGCTCAGAACCAGAATATCAGCCCAGTCATGTCTTGTGTTGGTCCCGGATGGCGTGCGTTAGGCCTGGATGCAGCAGAGGGTGTCTGTGTGTGTGACTGTATGTTAGGGAAGATCAATAAATTTATGCTATTTTATTACTAGTTGTTACAAACTTTATTGTATTTTTTGTTATTAATTTGTTGTTGTTATTAGTTTTTTAGGGGTTAACTGTAAGAAAGTACCATGAGGTCCTAAGTTCGCCTCAATAAAGAAGGATTTTAATTTAATTTCATTTGGTGTAGTATAACCATCCATTAAAAAATGTGGTAAAATTATAAATAAAACGGTATTGGTTATATATATATATTACTTCTTTACTTGACTTACTTTTTGGAAATGTAGATAAATATTACCTAAATATATGCATTCAAAAACAAAAGTTTATAAAAATTCAATAGGCCTAAAACTTAGTAATATTGTTTTGGAAACTTGTTCATAAAGGTTTCAAAACAGTTAAAGGCAATCCCGAATGGTATTACACCAAGACTTTTCTCTAATTTAGAGCCCTCAGAGGTGTTATAAACTACCTTAAGCACCTTGAAATACCATAATTTTAGGGAAGCTCCACCACCCCCCCCCCCTTTTTCTATGGGGAGTATTGTAATACTGGTTTCGACCCCCCCCCCCCAAACAAAATCCTGGTTATGCCACTGGATTTACCCATTATAGATGTGTTATTTTATACAATTTGATTAAAGTACATCTTCCACTTTCTAAACAGCCTTTCTTCCTTAAAAATAAATAAATACGGTGCTGCAAAGTTAAAAAAGATAATTTTTTTAATATTTTAGGGGCAATCGGGGGGGGGACGTAGATTTCAGACACATTTTTCTGCTATTTTAATGCTTTAAAATTACTTTTTGTAAAAAACCTTAATCTTTAGTATTTTTATTTGAAAGAACAGTTCTTTAAGAACATTTTCATATGTAACATTTTTTAAATTTTAAAATCTTTAATGGCTAAAAAAATTTTTTCCTGCGGTGTCGGACGTAGAGTGCACAAAATCGATATTTCTTTTTTCCTTATTTGACTTTAAAAATCTGTGAATTTTAAAGAGATAAAACAACAGAAAAAATCATGGATGTAAAGAAACTTATTAGCTTTAAAAAGAGCCTAGGTTCAAGTTTTTTGGTTCAATAGTTTTGACACAAAAAAAAATCTCCTACGGTGTCGGACGTAGAATTTTTGGTGTCGGACGTAGGTTGTGTGATTTTTTTTAGATTTACAAATAATAGGTAGTAATTAAATGTAAAAAAACGTTCACAATTTTATATGAAACCTTTTAAACATTTATTCATGCATTTAAATGAGCCTGAGCAAATAAAATTACTAAAATCCTCTATACCTGGGTTTAAAATATTTAAATTTCGAACATTTACGTTGCACAATATGGTTTGACATTTTACCTTCAGGGAAAAAGTAAAAGACTGATAAACACTTTACATCTTTTATTAGATATTTTGCTTATTTAACTTAAAAAAGTTACAGCTTCTTAATTCCTACAAATTACCCATTCTCTACAAATTAGTCTCTTTAAAAAAAATAATGAAATGAAAAATTCATGGGCACTTTGGGTTATATGCCTAAAAGTAAGACATGAGAAAATGTGTTCAAGGGAGCACATCTGGAAGTGGACCGATGATACTTTTAAATTTATAGTGGTCTCTTGTTCCTCCGTAAGGTTCAGGAGGCTCAATTGTCTTCACAATGTCTTTGGCTTTGTACATAATACAGTCTTCATCAGTTGGCCAGAAATAGTATGCACCTGACTTGGAGCAATGCATTACTTTCACTTTGGCTTCATTTTGTTCAACACACTGTACTTCACCTGGATAGTAATCATTATCGTATTTAACCACAACCCAGTCTTTTTGAGGCACTAAATCCTGAAGGTTTAGGTCATTTCTCTCTATTTCGAAACGCTCGCCATACTCCTGTTCTGAGTCATCACTGTCCGAAGACTCCGGATTTTGAACAATTTTTACTTTTCTTTTTACTAAATCGTCGCTTGTGTCGCCTACAATTAAGAAATCTTTTGATCCAGCTGCCGTCACATAATGCACTTTGTGAGTGTTAGGTACTGGTACGGAACACTCCCATATTTGCAGACCCTCAATCACTGCTTCTTGAATATCCTTACTTGAAATGAACTTAACTAAAACATTGGGGTTCCTTAAAGCAGCAATCTCGGCAAAATCTTCTGCTGTGCTCAGAACATGACCTGCATTGGCTTTGCAATAGTTCCAAACACTTCTCTTAACGGTTCCTCCTATGCCGTCAACCACACCTTTGCCGTGGGAAGTTGCAAAGAAATGCCAGTGGATCTCAACCTCAAACTTACTCTGTAGAAAAGGGAGAACTGAAAACATAAAGCGATTCTTGAATTGAGCTGATGTTCCATCAGAAAATACATTGACCTTAGTAATATCTGGTTGGATTGATTTTAGTTGTTGTAGCAAGAAGTTCAAATAACAGTAAATTTGATTTTTTGTGTGCTCCAGATCATCATCCATCATGTGCAGAGAAACAATGTTGCCATATTGCGAACTTTCTGGCATGCTATTATATTTTCATAGGTAATGTGTACACTTAAACGTTTATTGGTTTCCCATCATGTTAGCCTATATGGGTTTTGTTTAAATACTTTAAAACACAGTTTAGGAGATTTAATAACCAACAGTTGTAGCAAATGTTATATATTTTTTTTTACTTTTGAAGCTTACAAAAACTTATAAATTTGGGTGATATGTTTTTATTTATGTTTAACAATGGGGGTGTGGGATAAATTTTACATCTAACTAAACTGAAAGGTTCCTTAGTGCAGGTTAATTGAGTACTATGATAAAAACTCAACTTAGGGTTTTATAGTATACTAGTGGCCTGAAGGGGCCATAGCCCCTAATTTAGACTACAATAAAAAAACCATATACAAAAAGACAAACCTTCGAAATATGTTTTTAAAATTATCAATATGTTATGTTATGTTATGTTTTTTGTAACTTAAAATTAACAGTGTTTTTTTCGTTTTATATCTTGGTTTTCCTTCCGTTGGACCGTTGGAGTCGTATATTATAAGTCGTATTTATAGTTGCTTCTGTTGTGTCAATGAAATACAATTGTAAAATAATGATTAAATCAATAACACAACATATTTACAAATGGAAACGTGCACACGGTTTGGCCTGAGCCCGGAGAACGACGAATCATAGATGAAATCATACAGCCAAACATTGCAAATCTTTTCTAGTTTAAAACTAATGATTTGTTTTTTAATCTTACGAATTCTGTTATAGTTTCCAATTTGAGAACCAAATGTAAAGGTGTAATGCAATTAGGCTATTATTAATTATTATGAAGGCAACTCCCCATTTTGCGGTAGTAAGTCAGAAATATATGTATGCATTTGTCCCTGAATTTTAAGACAGTAAGGCCCATTTCCCTGAATCTCTTTTTGTGTAGTGGAAAGCGACGCAAAAGCCATTGCACTGTTGTATTGCCTTATGTTTTTTATGAAGTTCGAATCATGTAAAACCAGTTCTTTTAGTTCGTCATTTACTTGTGGTTGTGGCATGTCCATTGTGGCAACATGCGTTGAAATGTCCATTTGTGGCCTCTTCTGTGAAGTGAAATGCGCCACAATGCATGCAAGTGCTTTAAGAGGACCTAGCCTAGATTGTGAAAAAAACAACACTCAACTCATTTTCCAGCGTTCTTCTAAAGACAGGTTGTAAAATAGCGTCTGGATTTCTTTCACAGTTAGGCCCTACATGACGTTCTCTTTTGCATTTCTTAAGACTGTTGAAATCCTGGACACTCTTCCACGTCTTGCAGGTCTTCCCCTACCCTGTCCAGTTACTTCGCTCATTATCAAAACGGAAAACAAAAAAATCAAACACAATTAATTTTGAAACATTATTTACCAACATTGACTTTCGGAATAAATGTAAACATTGCAAATAAATAAGTAACAGCTGATAGAATGCAGACGTTTTTCAGTCCCCATGCATTTCTTATGGTGGATATTTTACGTTATATCTTGTTTTCTGGTAACTTTATGGGAATTCTGCTATTTTTCCCGAGTCCCTGGGGTCAAGACCTTTAATTTAAGTCCTCTCCCACTTTTCTGCGACTTACCAGACATCCACAATTTTCTGGTAAAAATTTTGTCTTACAGAATTATATATAAGGATGCAGCATGTTACGGTATTTAACATACACTACCCAATTTTAGTACTTTGGTGTCGGACGTAGAGTCGGACGTAGGAAATATTTTCTACGTCCGACACCATGATTAAAAAAAAACCATACATGATAGATTTTTTTCCAAACATGGATCATTTAGACCTATGTAAACTTGCTTTGCATACTAGTTTTCAAGCTTTAAAAAAAATCCCTCTAGCCACAGTAAAACTAAACGTACATTTTTGGTGTCGGACGTAGAATTTAATCTTTCTTAATGTTAAACATCTGTAGGGTGGACAGAAAACCTTTTTCTTAATTCTAAATTGCATTAATATTTAGCTTTACTCTTAAACTATCAAAAAAATAATTCATAAGGCTTATTTGAGTAAATTTTGTTTGTTGGTTATGAAAATAACCAACATGGTTGTAAATCGGAGCGAAAAAAAAAAACGGTAGTCTATAAAAAAACATGTATATATTTTTTATTTATTTTTTTTTTTGTAACCAATGTTATGAGTGGAAAGCTACACTAACGAGCTTTCCAAAAATGTATAACAGTAATGGGTTTGATAAAGTTGACAAAAAAGTATAGAGGTTGACCATTTTATGGAATTGCCCCTAGATATTTTTTTGAGGTAGGCCTATCTTAAAAAATGAAACTAAATTACCGCCAATAATTTATCAGTTATTACTTACAGGGAAACACTATCATCAGACTTTCCCATGCCAAACGTAGACTTCCACGGTAAAATCAGATGACCGTATTTCTGTTTTTGAAGGAAATCTGATAACATTCCAGGTTTATACTGTCCCTCATCCTTACAAATGTGCAAGCTTTTTTGTTTCTTTATCATTGTAGTTATCTCTTCTCCAAACGTATTTGTCTTCTGACTAGATTCCATGGGTTCACTTTTCTTCCGTTTTCTTTTTTCCATTAGCTTTCCCTTGTCACTAAAACCTTCTGAAGGTGGTTTTGCTGAGGAACCTGGATCTACTTTTCTTGACTTCTTATCTGCATTGTTATTGCCGCATTCATTTGTTTGCTGTAAATTCTTTTTTGATTTTTTCTTCATATTTATTTTGTAATATTGTAAGTATATTTCCAAAGATTTCCTAAAACAAAATTGTGTTAAGATGTGCGGAGCTGAATTACATTTTTGAAACAATTTAGAGGAAAGGGGAATCTGCCCCCCCCCCCAAAAAAAATATACCTACATTTGTTTTCATTTACGTTGACTTATTATGCTATCCTCCATACAAATACACCATTTTTATTAACACTTACATTGCCCCCTTTTCCTGTTAGGGGGCAAAAAAATCCCCCTTTTACTATAGGCCTAAAAATGGCTTTAGGGGATGTAACTTATATACGTATATAAAATAGGGGATAATCTTGGGTTTGTACTGCTTTACCGACAAACTCTCTAAAGCCATAATATAAGCGTTAAAAAGGGTGTATTTGTATGGGATGATAACATAATAAATCAATGTAAATGAATAAAATATATATTTTATTTGGGAGGCATTTCCTCCCGTTGTCAGTAAAAAGGGGGGGTCGTAGGGGGCGGCGATGGTTCTATCAGATTCTTCGCCCCAAAAATAGGGGGTATACATGGGTTTGTACTGCATTACCGACAAAATAGCAGAAATACACGGAAAAGAGAAATATTCCTATAAAAAAATCCCACTCGCCAGAGCCATACACCTACCAACCAAACTTCTTTTTCAATTGCAACTATCGATAACTAAACTTATGATGGAGTAGGATAAGTTATCACAGTTTTACCTATAAACATTTGAGAAGTAAGTTGATGAATTTATGAAAAAAAACCCTAGCCTATTACATAAAATATCTCTTGAGAATTGAGAGCTAGTCAATCTGTTATCTTACTGTATTCAGATCAATGTATTTGAATGTCTCATCACTGTAAGGAAGTAGGGATGAGCATCAATAGTCAATGTTATTGAAATATCGATGCTTTCCTATCAATCAATGTTCGATGTTTTTACATCGATGGTAGGTTACCGATGTTTATGGCCAAGTAACTTATTGATGAAGCCTATCGATGTTTTCCATTACTGGAGAGTTCAAAAGCATACGAAAAATCGAAACAAACAATCGAAAAACATTGATGTTATCGGTACATCAATGGTTGACCTAACGATGCTCATCCCTACAAGGATGTAGGACAGGAACAAAACAACAGGGAAAAGTGATTAAGATAGGAATAGGATTAGGTAGCCTTCCTATTGATGATATAATTTTGAAAATAAGGCATAAGTCAAATATATCAATGCGATCAAGTTTTATCTTTCTATAGGATAGGCCTTACAAGAAAGTCGGCCTAGCCCTGGCCAATCTAAGGTGTAATAGCCTTTAAAATATCCTAGTCTGGTTGGTGTAAAATATTTTAAAACCTCTTTGAAGACAAATACCTTTAAAAGGAACAATTTCTTTTTACCAACGACAAAGTAAAATTTATAAGAAATTTAGTGAAGTAGAAGTAGGCACTAATGGCAACTACGGTAGGCTAAGAGTAAGAGGGTACCCGGCCATAACCAACCATCAACCATCATAACATAACCTAGACGGAGACTTAGATAAACCTCATGAGTGCAAATTCAGAAAACTTAAACCACAGACTAAAAAAAATGTGGTTAGTTTCTATATTGTCTATGCTTATACTTACACAAATCACCATAAGAAAATAATCCAAATTCGGCTGCAATCAATTTTGCAGTATTAAGGTTTTGTTTTAGGTTAGGTAAGTATCATATTCATAACGACTGCACTGCACACTGCACTGCAACAGCTGAGCGCTGAGCTAGTGAGCTGAGCTGATGCAAGGAGGATGGATTTGGATACGAACGAGACCAAGAACAACAACAGCTGGATTCTATTGTCTATGCTGGAACTGAGTTGGTTCTTTCTGTCGCATGCGCAGTAAAGGTGGCCGGCCGTGGCAGTAGGCTAGTCTAAAGTCCAATTCCTGCGGCGAAAAGCTCGCAGCAGTCGCAGCGGTGCCATCGAAGTATATAACACAACGTTTAGTGTTAGGAACACCGGGTAGAAAGGAGATTTGGGATTAATGGGATTGGGATAAAAAGCGCGCCGTCTCAGCAACCTTCCCCCACCACAAAGGGGGACTCGACGCAGATATGTCAGTTCCTCAAGACGTGCACGCGGTTGTTAATACGCTCCTGGCCGTGCATACAATAGGTTGACTGCAATTAAAGTTATATATTCGGAATCTGCATTAACTGCAGAATCTGACAGTATAAATATAATCTTATTTAAATCGTAATTCGAATTTTAAAAACTAAAAATGTTAAACAAATATCACACCTTGACATGAAAAAGTTACTAAGCGAGGATTTTTTTTATTTTTTGGTCAGAAGCAAACTTCAAGTGACAAAATTGTAGCTAATGAGATGATCTTCAGCATATAACCAAGCAATTTCAAATAAAGTTTTCTAGTCGTGTGTAATGGAGTAATTAGTAACGTAAAGAGATTCTTTATAAATTGCGCCGCGGGCCGTTCTCCTGGTTCCGCTGATCTTTTCGTTTACGGTACTCCCAGAAACGTTTTGAGTACAACCAATAGTTATATTAAATACATTTTAGCGAATTTCCCTATAGGGAAGTAGCTATTACCGTAGGTCTCATGGTAAGACTTAGGCCCGGGGCCGATTTACTTTTTCATTTTGATGTCCCCAGAGGCCAAAAACACCATTCGTTCAAATTTGTATATATGTATATATATATATATATATAGATATATATAAATATATATGTGTCCGTGAACACGATAACTTGAGTAATTTTTATCCGATTTTGATGAAATTTGGTTTGAAGGTGTAAGGCGGGATAAACTTGAATGAGTTCGCGATCCAGCATGATCGGACTATGGGAACAGGGTTTTATGGGGGGTTTTATGGGGTAAAAATTGGTTTTTCTCATTTTTGACCCTCAAAACACAAAATTTCCCAATTTTTCTCTAAACCTTCTTAAAGAGCTTAAAAAAAAAACAATTCAGTATATCAAAGTGTTTTTGTACGGTTATTGGTTACGGAGAAAACTAAAAAAATGGTAAATTTAAAATTCCCATGTTATTCTTATGGAGAATATTGTAAAATGTTGTAGTTTGCTTGTTTATGGATATATTTTGATCAAACTTGGCAAATTTTTTTATTTTATAGTAAGCTATCAATATTTTACTAAAAACACACTTTATTAGTTTCCTTGTAGCAGCAAACCTAGGTACTCGTTAAACCTAATGTTATTTAAATAAGATCAATTGAAAATCAATTCAGCCAAATGGAAATTCGCTTAGACGGCAGGTTTGCTGCGGCGGGGGTATTTATTACATGTAACACATAACTAAATACTGTATTATCACCTTTAGGTAAATTATTTACATACAATGTTACCGTAATTTAAAATATAAAATGTAGACTATATATACAGGGACAGTGACTGGTAATCCCCCTTTATTTAAATGTAACAAGGGATCGTGTATTATCTGCTTTGTTTGATAATTAATGAGAAATTTCAAATATTAAGGCTAAGAGCAAATATTAAAATCCATATTTTTAGCCCCTGAGCTGTGATATAACTAAAAAATTGTTTTTACCTTTTACCTTAAAGGTAAAAACAATTTTTTAAGAGCAAATAATTGATAAGGTCATAAATACTAAACCTAGGAAGTATTTAACGTAAAGGCAATAACAAAAATTGAATAATAAATTTGCAAATCGAATTGTTAGTCGTGTTCTTTTTGACAATATGAGTATTTGTATAATGTTGTAAAGACACGATTAGTAAAAAAGTGTTTTGAGGGTCATTGTTATTCTGTATATGTTTTAAAATTCATATCATCACACATAACTCTGTTCAGACTTTGTTGTTGTATTTTATTTATTTAATTTGTTATTGTTGTTATAGATATTTAAATAATTGCCAATGTTATTTTTTAAGATATTTATTTGTACGTTATTTATTGATATTAGTTCGTTTTGTCATATATTGTATTGTTGTGAGTGATTACACTAAAAATTATAATTTATTCAGCAAGATGAACTTTTACCATATTTATTATTTATAATGCATGTCAAGATTTTGTTGTTAGAATATTAATGCTACAGTGTAACTGGGTTTATCCTGTTTTGCAGCATTGTAATAAAATAAATAAATAAATAAATAAATAAGAGAAAAGGGTTTGGTTAATAATACTAAACATTACTTTTAAGAATATGTTTTACTGCCCACAGTCGTGCTTAAATATAGTACAAAGGTTGCATTACATGTTGTGAAACAAAACCAATTTCTTCAATCTCTGCCTTACACGTAACTTATTTTTGTTACATTCATTCATAATGTTCCTAGCTTGGAGAAACAAACGGTTTTGTAAAACAGTGTCCCTAAAAGTTGCAGTCATGGGCGGCAGCCCGGTACCGGTATTGATATTTATCTTCTGCAAATAAATGACATAATATATGATCACATCCATAGAATAGTTAGTTGTATTCTTTAACTTATATCAACTATTAAAAAAGGTTAAAATTGATTTAGCTTTACAATGATCGAGTAGCAAAAACATAAAGAGTTGCTGGACTAAGGAGGTTGGTGCGACATAAAATCAAAACCTCGTCGCGCTATTAATCACTAGACTACAAACAAACTACAAACTTAATTGTAAATTGCTCGATCACATGTTAAAAATCATCTCTTAAACTACAACTTTGTCGCTTACAGTTTTCTTCTGGCCCAAAAATAAAATACTTCCTCGCATACTAACTTTTTCATGTCACTATGTAACATTTTTTTAAATCTTTTTAACTATGGAAATTCTATTTCAAATCAAAAGTAAAATGTATTTATACCATTACATTCTGCATTTAATGCAGATTACGAATATATAAACATTATTGTACTTAATATTTGTTATTGAAGGCTAGGAGCGAGTTAACAACTTCGCGCACTATTCGATGAATTGACTAAAATCCACTGGGTCCCCATGGTGGCGGGGGAAGGCTGCCACAACGGCGCGCTTTCGTGAAAACGTACCTAGCATTCCAGTTGTGTTATTATACTTCGATGAGCGGTGCACGGTGCAGTCCCAGCGCCATCGGCCAGTCAGCCACGGCCAGCCCCAGTCGGCAGTCCCGAGTCCCAGTTCCCAGTTCCCAGTCGCATTGCCGTGGTCCGTTCCGTTTGGTTCCGTCCGTCTCCGTGTCCGTGCTCCGTGGTGGAGTCGTCGGAGTTCGAACGGAGTTATCTGGATGGAAAAATACTTTTAGGTTATATCATAGACTAACCTTTATCTATGGTTATATCTTCTTTATTATTATAATTATTTTGTGTTTGCATTTTTATGTTCATTAATAATTTCTTCATTCCCCATCTCAGCCTACCAGTGATACCATATCCATAAGTTAGTAAGTTTAAACCTATTAACTTTTAAAAGTAGTTTCGTGCTAAGCTATAAAAATCGGGCTGTTGTTATTGTTGTCACTATGTATTTAAAATCACAACAAAACCCTCGTTCTCGTTTACTATTGAAGGGGAGGCTAAATATAGATTACAAAACATAAGGTAGGCTTAGGTCTAGTTATTTGTTAGCTTTACAGTTTCTTGGTTGATCGTGTAAAAAGTGTAAGGCAGAGGATAGGCTACGCGGTAGGCGTCCGGCATTTACTGTCATAACCTAACCTAACTAACCAAACTTGCTGATGATGAAAAAATCGAATGAAGATTAAATTCTGTTCGGGTACAGTTTCTTAACTGGGCTATGCTAATATTGATTGAAACTATCGATTCGATTAGTAAACCTTCTTGCGTGATAGTTTTTTTTTATGATAGATATATTTAAAAATATCGATTATTAATCAATATTTTCAATTCAATAGTTTCAATCAATATTAGCATAGCCCAGTTAAGAAACTGTACCCCTTTCGGGTCTTAAAATAAAATTATAAATGCCTCAAATTCCGACAAAAGATGTACAGTTAATAAGAAGAAATGGTAGCCTATTCTAAGCAAAATCTTTGACAATCCAATGGGATTCGATCTAAGTTAGATACCGGTACCTCTTGGCTAAAACTTATCAGCCTAGAACTCTTTCTACTACACCACAAACACCGATGGCCCTGTTCCGTATCATTGTGATAAGATAATGGTGTTCCGGGCCCCCACAACCCGGTGACGTCACTGTTGGACGCCTAAACCACATTCGGTTACCTGACGCGTATCCTCTGCGTTGTTACCTATAATCTAAGGCTTACATTACGATCCAATTGATTTATTGATGAGACATCTAGGTTTCTAACTAAAACAAAAAGTTTAGCTGATCCAAAGTTAGGACTGACAATAACGTTCTGACATAGAAACCTCTGAAGAAACGTAGAAACCCAAAGAAATATTTCATAAAGCTGTTCCCCACCAAACTGATTTAAAGTCATCAAGACTGTTGATTTTTATATGTGACGGGGAAAGCGAAAAGGGACCTCTTATGGCGATAAATATTTTTAACTATTGTTTTTTTCCCTTATTTATAGATACATTTTTATAAAATTGGGTAAATTTATTTGTTTCTTATCATTCTATTAATATTTTATTAAAAGATATACTAGGCTGTATTACCCTCCCTGTAGCAGCAAACCTAGGTACTAGTTAAACCTAATGTTATTTAAATAGGTTTGTGAAAATCAAATCAAGCAAATGGAAATCCACTTTGTCTGCAGGTTTGCTAATGTGGGGGTATTTTTATTCATACTGTCATTAATTTTTTTATTATATTTATTTATTTAATAAACTGGCATACTCTCTAAATCAATAAGGTGTTTGCTTCAAACAACTATATATTGTGGACATATTGAAAAAACAACAATTGTTATACATCTTTGAAAAATTTATTTATTTTGAAGGTCTGTATTTTGACCGTTATTTACGCTACATACTTGCTGTTGGGCTTAAACTGTTACAAATTTATCCTCGTTTAATTATATAAAGTAATACTTTCAGTAAAATCAACTGTTCGCGAGATAGAGTGAAAACCCACAGGAATGGTCAGATTTTTGCTATTTCGTTAACAAGTGGCGCGCCCCGCAGCGCGCGGTGGCATTTTGAGGTGGATAACTTGGATTTTATGCTATGGACACAACACTAACAACATATCCAAAAATCAGAACTACCCGACCTTTTGCACAGCAACCCCCTATTTTTTGTACATATTTACTGGACTATTGAAGCCCTTGAATGCATCGATAAAGGAGAATCGATTAATATAATTTGCAATGAACTGAATGTAGAGTAGATTACAACTGGAAAACACCCCGCCGCAACAAACGTGCAGACTAAGTGATTCTCAACTTCAAGGTAATAAATTGAAAGAATAACAAACAAATAAGTACAGCTGAGGTATTTTTAACATTAGGTAGGCTATGGAAAGTTCCCTTTAGAAAGGAATTACGACCTTAAAAGGGCAATTTATGAAATAATGGATAGTTTTGCACAAGGTTTCTCGTCATGACGAACATTTTAAGTACCTATATGGTTTATGAAAGTGTGACTTTTAGTTTTCTTAAAAGTTCATGGGTACTTTGAAATCAAGAGTGCCAGAAGAGAGATTAAATGAGTGGCAAGTGTACTAGCAGAGTCCTCCTGAGGGGTCAGCGTATCACTGAATAATGTGTTAAAATAATATTTAAACCCAGTAAATTTGTAGGCCTACCAAGTTTTGTACTAGGTATCTTGATTTTTTTTAATGTTTAACTACAGGCCTACCACCAAGACTTTTTTCCACCCTGTAGGCTATATCTTGTAGTCCACTATAGGTAAAAATGTATTTAATGCAAGATTCACTCTAATTTAAGTAGGCAGTTACCATGTTGCAGTTTTCTCCTGATTGACTTATTTTGACACACTATTTTGTTACAGGCAAGTGATGTGGTGTGAGGTTGGAGTACTCCTAGATTAAATCACGGTTATTGTGATTCACACTGAAATAAATTGTTTACCGGTAGGTTATCTCCATTGTATGAAGATGAATCACAAGCCTAAAGAAAATGTGGAAAACACCATTTTTGTTGGAAATATTCCAAAAGAAACAATGGTGAAAGAGTTGAAAAAGGTTTTCAGAAAGTTTGGTCCTATTATCAATCTGAGATTTAGATGTGCGATTCGCAAAGACCCTAAAATACCCAAGAAACAGGCAGTGATAAAAAAAGATTTTCACGAAGAAAGTAACCACATAAATGCATTTATAAAATTTCAAACCTCTGATAGTTGTATGGAGGCTCTTAAAATGAATGGTGAACTATTTGGAGGACACCATTTAAGAGTAACATTGGCCGAAGATTCAGGAAAGACTGAAGGGAAGAAAAGTGTATTCATTGGAAACTTGGCTTTCAGTAAGTTGTACATATTGCATACTATCTAATATTGATAAGTAAGGATGTAGGCTGTGTTGCTGTAGGTAATTTGTTAAGTTCACTATAGCCTATATAGTATACTAGACCCACGGGCTTCACCCCGTTTGACTTCATAAGTATTAATCTATATTTTTAATATGCTAGGTATATTTATGTCATAATTGTTTTGGAACAGCGGTGCTACCGATCACCATGTCCAAGGTGTCGTTAGAAAGGTCTTAGCATGTAGTTTTGCCATCAAACAAAAAAACTTAGGAATTCCATCAGGGCTCTGCCCCAGTGGCCTTCAAAGTTCCCATGTTATTCTTATGGAGAAAATGTTTGTTTACATTTAAACAGATGAATACTTTGCAATTGACACTAATATTTGAAACAGCTGGTTATACTAAAATTGGTGTTTAGATTAGTTGAAAAGATTGATGTTTCACTGTTTTAAACCCGTTTTTTATTTGCTCAAAATAAAAACATAACCAAAAAAACCTTCGACATAATGGAGACTATAAGACGTAGACCAGGACGTCCAAGAGGAGGAGGCCGACAAATTTTAACTGGTAGGCGCGAACGAAATACAAATAATACTATTGTCGTTGATAACCAAATACAGCAAGCACCCTTCCGTGTTGGGTTTATGTGTGCTTTCAAACAGTTGCCTGAAGATTCCACATTCAATTTAGGACTGTTGGATAATCGCGGCACAAGCTGTTGATTTTGACACAGAAGAGAGGAGATATTAGATTAGTTGCAAATGCGTTGGGAGCAGAGTGTTTTATGTTAACGTTTTAAAGGTAAACGTTCGGATATATACTTAACATGAGAAAGAGACTGGAACAAGATCGGGAGATGGGCCATTATGAAACGCAGTTTGTCCCAGGAAATGGAAAATTTAAAGGCGAATTTGTGGAGAATTCACCTGGTGGAAGAGGAATTATGTAGATGTAGAGAAATAAAAACCACGAGTCACGTATTTATAAATTGTTCTCTTCAGAAGACAAATAGGAGAGTACAGGAATAAGTGTTGGATAAGAGAGGTATAGAGATGAGAAACTAAACATGATGAGTGACAAGGAAACAATTGAGATGTTTAGAAAAGTAGCTAGGGAATTAGGAAAAACCAGGGATACATACAGGCTTTTAAATTTAAAAAAAGAAACAAACAAAAACTAAGAAAGAAAAGGAATGAAAACTTGCCCATGAAGGGGAGAGAAAGGTTAGAGCAAATCTCAATGATCCCTATCCTTCAGGGTGGTATGAGGAAGGCAGTCGTGCTGTTAGGCTTTTGGACACGTAATGTGTCTGGACGAGGATTGAAAGTGGCTGAAGCCTATAAAGAAAGAATATTTTCACGGGGAATTTGCCTGGCAAATAAGTCCCAGTCTTAAGCCAGGGGTGGTGGTGGGAACGAGGAGTTTACCACAAACATTTACTGACTTGGTTGAAATGAAATATTTACCTGAGTATTTCCAAAATCTTTGAGTCGAATCTTTGAAAGTCATCAGAAATTATAACCGTTATTCGTTTTAAAATAACGCCTGTAATACTTAGCAATTGCTCGTATTCGAGCAACAGGTACACTAGTAAAACTATTGTTTGGTTAATTTAAGCTAAAATAAACAAAACAGAATACAGTAATTCAACCGAATAATCACACCTGATATTAAAAAGGTACCGTAATAAATTGAATGAAAGAATAACAAACAAATAAGTACAGGTGAGGTATTTTTAACATTAGGTAGGCTATATGGGAAGTTCCCTTTAGAAAGGAATTACGACCATAAAAAGGCAATTTATGAAATAATGGATGGTTTTGCACGAGGATTCTCGTCATGATGAACATTTTAAGTATATGGTTTATGGGGGTGTGACTTTTAGTTTTCTCAAAAGTTCATGGGTACTTTGAAATCAAGAGTGCCAGAAGAGAGGAGACATTAGATGAGTGGCAAATGTACTGGGAGCAGAGTGAGGAATAAAGGTAGACGTTCTGATATATGCCAAACATCAGAAGGAGACAGGAAGAAGATAGGGAGATGGGCCATTATTTAACACAGTTTGTGACAGGACATGGAAATTTCAAGGCGAATTTGCGGAGATTTAACCTGGTGGAAGAGGAAGTATGCAGATGCGGAGAAATAGAGACCGCAAGTCATGTTTTGATGAATTCTCCACTTCAGGAGCAAATAGGAAAGAACAGGAAGAAGTCTTGGATAGGAAAGGTCTAGAGATGAGAAAATAAAACTTGATGATAGACAAGAAAACAATTTAGACACTTAGGAAAATAGCTAAGGAAATATGAAAAACCAGGTAGGCTATACGTAAAGGCTTTTAAAATGAAAAAAAGAAAGAGACAAAAAGAAAGAAAGAAAATTAAATAAAATTTCTCCAGGAAAGGGAGAGGAAAGGTTAGAGTGAATCCCAGTGATCCCTATTGCTCAGGGCAGTAGGGGGAAGGGAGTCGTGCTGTTAGGGATTTGGACACATAACTTGTCTGGAGGAACATTGAAACTGGCCAAAACCTGAGAGGAAGGCAGATTTTCGCAAGGAATTGGCCTGGCAAATAAGTCCCAATGTTGTTGGATAGGTTGAAGCACGTATATTTGCCATCAAACAAAACATTTTTTGAAATTCCAATAGGGCTCTGCCCCAGTGGCCTTCAAAGCAACCATGTTATTCTTATGGAGAAAATGTTTAGGCCTATTTACATTTGAATAAATTTCACTTTAATTACATTTGTGAAATGAAGTCTCAGTTCACAACGATATTTCAATGATAACCTATGCCAATGACTAACTATAACTTAAATAAGTTACACCCACAGAGCATAGTATAAATATAGTTGCGGCACTTGCCGTCTGGAGTGAAGCAGGCTTCTCGTACCAAGATGGCCGGCCCGGTCTGCATTTACATTTAAACCATTACTGTATATTGTTACCATGGAAACCACCAATCAATATTTACTTTTAAACCTCTCACCTCAGATCTTTGAAAGCCGGCGGGGCAGAGTCCTAGGTCAATATCGAAGGGGGGATAGTTCTATTTGTATCCTCGGAGTGGTAGCTTCATCTAATTCATAAAGTAGCATAGAATAACACAGTGGTAATGATGCCGTGTTTTCAATGTTCCGAGCCCGACTCTCTTACCAAGATGGCGGAAATCGGCTTCACTGCTGGTATAGCTGTAGTTATAGAAGTGGCGACTATATTTATTCTATGCTCTGTGGTTACACCTGACACTTCTGTTCTGTATTAGTTGACTTGTTATGGTGAATATTCTGTTGTATTCTTTGACTAGAGGTGTACACATTATATTATTCATATATTAATTTTACTAATAGTTTCACCAGCTTATAGCTAGGTTAAACCAGAACTGCTCCAGTTATTATAATTTACTCCTCTGGTAGTAGTGTGTCACAGTTTAAAACATGATATCTACGGTAAAAACTAAAAAAAACTTAGATGGTTAGTCTTTATGATTAGTTTTTGCTATGAGTACACACCTATTCAAAATATAGGCTACATTTCACCCCATATTGTTTTTGTTTTTTAGCTCTTGAAGTTTTTTGTTGCTTTTAGCGAATTTCCCATATGGAATCAAATCAAATCAAAAGATCTTTATTCATTTGTAAATACATATTTATATAAATAGTGTCAAACAATGAACACGAATATACATGAACAAGTAGGCTACAATCAACATGATCGGTAGGACATTATTGATCACACTACTCCAGGTTGCTGTTTTCTGAATTTTAAGATCTATTATCTGTTCTAAAGTTAAAAAAGTCATCAAATGAATAAAGTACCCTCTGTATAAAAAATTCTTTCAATTTTACTTTGAAACCTCTATCATCCTGCATGCTTCTTATGTGATCTAGTATGTGATTTAGGAATCTGATACCGTTGTATGAAGTTTTTCTTTTAAACAATTCTAATTTATGATTTGGTAATACTACTTTATTTTTATTCCTAGTGCTATAGCTGTGGATATCTTTATTTGTAATAAAAACTATTTATATTATTTTTTACAAACATTATGCATTCTAAAATGTATAAGCTGTAAACAGTCAAAATTTCAAATTTAGTAAAGTAAGTTTTGACAGATTCATTGTTCCTAAAGTTTAATATGGCCCTTAAGGCTCTTTTCTGTCCTTAAGTATATTTGTCAAATTTTGAGCGTTCCTCCGTGGACATAGATCCCATAAGAAACATGAGATTGAACATTGGCAAAATAAACACTTTTTAATACATTCGTATCACAGGGATAATACAGTACAATCTTTTGATGGCATAGATTCCTGAGTTAATTTTCTTTAAGACATTATCCACGTGCAGATCCCAACTTAGATTTCTATCAATAGTCCAGGCAAATTAGATCAAATACAGGGTGTGCTCCCCAAAAAATCGTCTAAAGCTGGAAAGTGTTTTAATACCTTTTGGGGGTCCCAAATAAGACTCCTGTGAGTTTGCGACGGATTCTGACGTCTGCTTAAGGCTGTGCTCTACCCCGTCTGGCGCGCGCAAATGTAAGGGTATTAGTTCTTCCTGTTTGTAGCCCCAATTGTGAACCGATTTAAAAGATCTTGGTGTCATATTTTTCGTTAAATGTTATTGTAGGTATCCCGTTTTTTTAAATTTTGATAATTTAAAAAATGTTGGGCTCACGGGTTGGTGAAAAATGTAAAAATAGGCGTTTTTTATCATAAGTTTTAATACATTAAAATAATTTTTACAGAAAAAATAAAAAACGGGACAAGTGCAATAGATGCTTAAAAACAAGAATCTGAAGTTAGTTTACTAAAAAGTTGAATGATAACCATGTAATCACGCAGACTCGAAAGGCTTGCAAGCGCTCTTCAAGGCGCCGTGCAGTGGCGCGGCCATGCGGCCAACGGCTCTACCTGTCGTCAGCTCTCCCACCACAGCCATCGATCGATATTTCCCCTCCTATCGGTTGAATCTGTTCCATCTTTGCGTCGTCGCCGTTTT